TCAGCTTAGTTCGTTCCTGGGTTGGCAGGGTACATCTCCCCTCACGTAGGACTCCTCACATGGCACCACTCCTAGATTCTAAACTGGTAATCTCAGAGAGCCTCCGTGGCTGCTGTTATTTTTCCGCCATATTCTCCCGAAAGTCTACATTCTTAATTCTTAAGTTATAGATCTTCTTATCATCTTCTAGCCTTTGTATTGTTACTGCTTGTTTCCTTGTTATTTTTAAGAAGTTTTTCCTTTCATTCTCCCACATTGCAAACCTGTCCTCCAGTTCAGATAATCTGTCCTTAGTTTCTTTCAAGCTGTTATGCCAGCTTTCAATAGAGTTTTTAGTTTCCTGGTAGTCTCTTTGAACCTGCTTTATGTATCATATATTTTCTCTGTTTTCTCCATCAAACAATTCTCGCCCTTTTTTTTTTTGTTCTTCCATTCTACCATCTGTTTTTTCTTGGAGGTGCTTAACATTTCTTTAACTATTCTACTTATATCTTGCTTTACTTCATTAAATACTTCACTTTTGAACTCATCTATGAGGTCCCTAAGATAATGCTTTATGTCTATTGCTGCCATGCCTGTAATTGCATATTTTCTGTCCTTATTCTCTTTTGCTCATTACCTTTCCTAGATCTCCTATCCTCAATACCTTTCCTAGATCAGTGTTCTCCAGATTGGGGACTGAGGACCCTTTCTTGTTGCCTCCTCTTCTCATATTTTTTGTTCCTTCCATACAGGCGTATCTAGGAGGCCCAGTTTCTTTCTTTGTTGGTTTCAGTTTGTCTGAAGCATGCTGACTAGGTGGTCCCACCCACTGCAGTGTACTAGGAGGTACAAACCCGCAACCTATGCTGGGTCTGCCCTTCCAGGTCAACCTACTGAAGGCTTCGCTGCATTAGGTTGCACTGCCAGGCGCAGGACCTTGGTTTGGGCTAGCCTATTGGGCCTTAGTCTGCGGTGTCACCCAGGTCAAGCGCTCCTCACCAATCCCTCTTGAGAGGAGAATATGTGACTGATGTCACTGCAACGCCCTGTTTCAGTCAGTCTGCCGGGTCTCAGAATGTCCCCTGTAGGAGCCTCTTTGACTATGGCAAGGTGGTCCCCCGTCCCTCTCACCCTCCGCAGGTCGATGCAGGTTCCTCTCACCCACTGTAGGTCGATGCAGGTTCCTCTCACCCACTGCAAGTCGATGTAGGGCTCCCCGCCCATTCTGCTCCCAATTTGGTTCGCCGATTCCAGCTCTCAGAGCATTTGCGTCTCCCATGAGTTGCAACTAGCATGCTATTCCTGCTGTGCCAATTCAGGCACAGCAGCCACAGGGTATTCAAGCTGCGAGTTTTTTAGGTGTTCCAATCATAGCACCGGGATTGCATTTCCAATTGGTTTCTCTCAGCTTAGTTTGTTCTTGGGTCGGCAGGGTATATCTCCCTCTGCTTAGGACTCCCCACACTGCACCATTCCTGGAATTTAAGCTGGCTATCTCAGAGAGCCACTGTAGTTATCTACCGATCATCTTTTCTCCTTCCTGGCCAACCTGAATTACGTAGCAAGACTATCTCAAAAAAAAATCTAAAGCAGTGATAATGTCTTGTCCAACCTTATATGAGTTACATACAAAGAATTAATAATATTTTTATTGTTTTATTGATAAAACTTTCTCAAGTAACAATAATTTTGGAAAGAGCCGGGGATTTAGCTCAGTGGCATAAGTGCCTGCCTGGCAAATGTGAGGTCATGAGTTCAATCCCAAATACAAAAGAAAAAGAAAAAATAATAATTTTGGAAAAATAGCTGTAAGGTTTCTAAACTATACATTGTCTGTTCACAATGATGTCATAAACAGTATTTATAGAAGTGGTAGGGTTATATGATACCTGTACTACACCAATGAGTTTATCAAACAAGCTAGTATCAACTTAAGAGAAATAATCAAAACTGTAACCAGATTATTCTAATTATTATTGTCTTGACAGCTTTCAGCATGCTACATTTTTTTCTTCTCGTCTCTCCTATGTCCTTAAAAAATCCTGTAGAAGAGAATTTTATAAAAGAATATATTATTTATATAGCAAGTTTCTTGAGTAAAATAATTTTACAGATTCTTTTATATGTTCTTGATATTATGCAGTAAAATACTAGATTTAGGCAAATTGATAGTATGTTTCTGTTTACTCTTGCAGGCTTTGTTTGCTTGTTTTTTGAGACAAGGTACAGGCTGGCCTTGAAGTTCCTTATGTAGCCCTGGGTGGCCTCACATTCACAGCACTCCTCCTTCCTCAGCCTCCAGGGATTGTAGGCATGTGCTACTGTGTGCAGTTAGGCTTTTTATTTAAGTTCAAACTGCCTTTGCTTTTAGATCCCTTAGTACTTAAAAGTATAAATACTTCCCAAGCCTTGAGAACTCCCAATTTTTTCAGAACCTGTTATTAAAGCTTCAAAACCTTAGATGTTAAAAATATTTTTATTAGAGCCTGGTTGGTGGCACACACTTGTAAATCCTAACACTTTTGAGACTGAGATTAGGAAGATTACTGTAAATTCAAGGCCATTTTGAGCTACATAGTGAGTTCAAAGCCACTCTAAAGTAAATAGTGAAACCTTGTCTCAAAAAAAATTTTTTTTTAATTAGAAAGTCACAGCTTGAACCTGACTTATAAACATTTGAACATTTCTCCAGTTGTGAATTTTCACAGGTGCATAATACGAGATTCACAGGTGTACTGTATAAGACGTACTTTGTCAGAACAAATTTGACTTAAGAACATTCTCCTGGAGTGGAACTTTTCATAAGCTGGGGTCTTACTCTATCTACAATTTTTTAAATGAGTTAAAAGTTATGGGGGGGTGGTCAGAATTGAAACTGTGAATGTAGTGGTCTATATATAATGTGTAACATGGTGCCTAAAGTTTTGGAAGCACATAAATCTCAATTGGGCTAAAAAAAAAATACAGCTTAGAAGATCTAAAGTTACAGATTTATACTTCATCTTAGAAAGATGAGTTTTAGCAGTGGGTTTGGTAAATTTGACTTTTATATTTTATATATAAGTGAAATCACATGGTAATATAGTACCTGTGGCCTACAACATAAAGGAAAATGCTTCAGCCTATGATCTGCCAGCTCCAAAGAAACTACCATGGCAAATGGGCATGGCAGAGAAAAAGCTGCTCTCCTCATTGCGGCCAGAAAGCAGGGATCTAAAGGGAAGAGCCACGGAGATACATTCTTCTCACACCCTAAGTTCCAACCAGGTCCTACTCTTCTAATCTACCAATGAATATGTGTCCTCATGGTCTACCTCCCAAAACCCCCATCTATAATTGCATGAGGCTTTCAGGGAACATCTAGATACAATTTGTCCTTTTATTGCCTGCCTTATTTCACTTGATATAATATCTTCCAGGTTTATTCATGTTTTACAAAGACCAAATTCTCTTTTTGGGAGCTGGTGTTGAATAATGTCCCATTGTTTATACTGTATATACTTTGTATTAGGTTGTTTCTCAATCTTTTTATTTTTTTTATTTTTTGAGGTTTTATAATATTTCAGGTACTGTACCTCGTTTCATATTTCTTATCTTCATGCTGGTTCTAGATTTTGGTCAACATCAAATGTCTTAAGTAATAGATCCATGATATTTGTCTTTACTTCATTATGAGTGTTGATCAAAATTGTGAGCTTTGTCCATGCTAAGGCTCAATATAATACCACTATTGATTTAAAGCACATGAAACTTTCCTAGTGCACCTTAAGTTTATGTTATAGAAGTGACAGGAACTCAGAATGTTATTTTTAACCCAGACGTTTGGATCACATTATTTTAAAAAGACCATGATCTTTTTTCCTTTAAGTTAATTCCTTAACTAGTTCTTAGGCAGTTTAACCTGAAATATCTAAAAGAACTTGGTTTTATGATGTAACATGGTACATCACATCTGAGTCTTTAGATTTGTAATAGTATTTCAGTTGTTAGGTTATTAAATGTCTCATTCGACATTACTGTATATAATTGACACCATTCTGTGACTCCAAGAGGTGGCATAAGGAGCAACTTATTTGTGAACTATGTAATTTCCATCTGTAGTGAAATAAGCAGTGTCTTCAAATGATACCTATTTGTTTTCATAGCATGTGTATGATATATAATAACAACATGCCTTTTTGTGATGCTGCCATGATTGGACATCGCTTGTGTATGTTGTATACATGCACTGCTGGAGAAAAAACAAGATTTAACCAACTTCATTTCAGGAAATTTAAATATTTTAAGAGCTTTTTAAAAACGATTACAACTGGGCATGGTGGCACATATCTGTAATCCTAGCATCCTTAGAGGCTGAGGCAGAGGATTGAAAGGCGGGCTTATATGACGTCTTAGCAAGACTCTTCCACCAAAAAAGGATGGCAGCAGGGCAGTTGGGGATGTAGCTTAATGTAAAGATCCTGATTTCAATCCCGAGTTATGAGGGGGGAGTTACAGCAAAATTTCTTTAAAATTTCTATCTTTTTTGTGGTTTTAAAGAATGAGCAGGATGTAATGTTTTACACTCAATTTGAAATGATAAAAGTCTAGTTTGATTTTAATTCACTGTAGGATATTAAACTATGCATTAATAAGTAAAGAAAAGAACGATTAAATATGATTATCTTGTCACCAAAAATAATTCCTTGCAGACTATACAAATTTCACTAACCTAACAATTTTCAACTTTTAACTACATGTTTTACCAAGACAGGGCATCTGCAGACTTACTTATAATTTCAAATAATATAATTAGAGAGTGAAAATAAACAGGAAGAACCTAGGCAAAAGAAAAAAGGGATTATGAAAATAAAGGATGCATTTCACTAATAAATTTTTTTCAGAGGCTCAAATTTCTTAATGTGAAGTATTAGATTGACTTTAAATCTAGTATTATTATTACAGCTTTTTGTTAGTATTTACTAAGCTAACTTTATTCTCTACTTAAAATTAAATAGCATATTTTGTATCTGTTTCAGAAACTACATCTGACCAGAGTGACATTGAAGGTAGGATCAGAGCTCTGAAGGATGAGTTGCGGAAACGAAAATCAGTTGTGGACCAGTTGAAGAAGGAGCAGAAAAAAAGACAAAAGGAAAGACTGAAAGCACAAGAAGCAAGTCTGATTAAACAGTTAGAGGTCAGGCATAGGAAAAAAGGGGTTGAATATCAAGATTTATATATATACGAATTATGAATCCTCCACCCCCTTTTTTTTGCTACATACTAGGCAAGTGCCCTACCACTGAAGTATATCCACAAAGTACTTTATTTTGAAAATGTCTCACTAAGGTGGCCCAGGCTGGCCTTGAAATTATAATCCTGCCTCACCTACTAAGTAGCTGGGATACAGGCATTTGCCACTATGTTGGACTGAAAATATTAATATTGTCAAAATGTTAGTATGGTGTCACATTTTATCCTATTTAAAAAATTCTGAGGCTATCTAAGCAACTCTTATATAAAATATTAAGCTAAATATTAAATTAAAATACTAAGTAGTAAAATACTCAGTTTAAGGCATTTTTCCCTCTGAAAAGAAAGATTACTCATAAAAGAAAGTTTGATATCTATGCTCGCTTAAACAAAGAACTATTAGATAAATAATTCTAGCTACTGGAATTATTACTGCCTTTTCTCTTTCCTCAGCAGAGTGGGCTTCATGTCACACAACTTATTAACACAACTCTTCATACTATTTGAACGGTTTTTAAATGACATCTCTAAGCTTGACTTTCTGTCCAGGAATCCATCCAGGAAACCTTCCTGATTCTCTCAACCTAGAAACCTGCCTTTGATGTCTTCCACATTCTGTTTCCTCCCATCCCTTCAGCACTAGTTCACACTGATTCTATCACAAAAGTCCTTGCTTGTCCCTTTCCATTCCTACTGCCATCAAGCTAGTTGTAGCCCTTATGAACTCTTGCCTGTTTTATTTGCAGTCTCTTAGATGTCCCTGCATTTGGCTGATTGTCTGTTACTCATGTTCTATCAGCCGCCACTATGTCCTAAATCACCAAAGTCATTATAGAATCAGTCTGAAGCACCTGGTTTTCACAAGAATTCCTTTTTGTTACTACCAGAGAAGATCATCCAACTTCTTGAACTTTCAATAATGGAAATTTCAAAATGCAGTTGGTTTCATTGTTAGACTCTAATCACTAGAAAGTGGTTTTTATATTTAACCTAAATTCCTGGTCTGCCTTTTGTGCTTTTCTTTGTAACACAAGTTTCTCTGATATTTATTAATTATCAAATTGTAGTATTCGTTATATGCATCAAATGTAGCTAATTACAGAGATTTTCTTTGAAGCCTCACAGCAACAAGGCATAGTTATTAATCCTGTTTTATAGGTAAGGAAACAGTTTTAATAAAATTAATGATTTTCCCAGGGACACACAACTTGTAAATAGTAAAGTTAGTATTTTAAATAACTTTCATTCCAAATTCTGTGTCCTTACCATCATACTGACTTTCACATAGTAAAAAGACTTGTTAACAGATCTAGAGTAAACATCTGCACAGGTACACAATACAAAAATAAAGCAAACATACCTGGCATAGATGTTAAATGTAGAAAAAATGATTAAGATATAATGATTATTAATTGGCCTAATAAAAACAAAATTCCGATTTCAACTTTTAAATTATAGTATCTGATATAGAAATAGCAGATCATGTGAAAAAGAAATCTGCAAAAAGTAAATAAATAAATAAATAAATAGGAAAAAAAAAGAAAAAGAAATCTGCTGGTCTTGGTGGCCCATGCCTGTAATTCCAGCTATTTGGAAAGTTGAGGCTTTGTGTTCCAAGCCCAAATAGTTTAGCAATCCCCTTTTTCAGAAATTGTAAAAAGGTTTGAGGATTCAGCTGAGTGCTAGAGGGCTTATCTAGTATGCACAGGGCTCTGAGTTCAGTCTCCAATGCTGGGGAGAATGGAGGGGAGAGTATTTTATTTGATCACAGATTTAATAAATGGATTGTACTCATGTGAGTATAGCTTCAGATCTGAGTAATAATAGACCTTTTACATAACCTAGCTAAGAGAACTGTATAGCTATGTATATAGGTTTTCATTGGTGTTTGGTTTTTGAGATAGAATCTCACTTTGGAGATTTGACTGGCCTCCAGTTCTCAATCCTTTTGCCTCAGCCCTCCAAGTGATAGGATTATAGATATATAGCATCATGCCAGGCTAATCTGTGTTTCATACTAGGAATTTATCAGAACATTGAGAATTCACTTAAAGAGAATGTAGATAATGACAGTCGTAAAACTAGGGATTTTAAAACTCTGAGTCAGTTGACGGATGTCCATTCACCCATTCATTCATTCTGTAACTATTTATTGATAGTCTAATTTGGGCCACATTGTACATAGATACTGAATATACAGCGTTGGTCAAAAAACCTATAGTAGTGAGAGTTGCAAAAGTAGAAATTTTAGCTCTTACAGAAAATGGACAGATAATATATAAAAGACTCACCATAAATGTCATACAAATTATAATTATAAATTAGTGAAGTTTTGTTTACCGAATGAGTGATGACTAGGAAATATAATTTAAAATTTTTAATGTGACAGGATATGAAATAGTCATATTTTTATAGGAGCATTAAATTTTTTCTGCTGCTTCCTCTTCCTCTTCCTTCTTCATCATCTTGGTCTTATTCTTGCTTTTCCTATTTTATGTTGCTGGGGATTGAACCTAGGAGGTAGGGAGAGATTTTTTTTAATCATACCATCTTTATTTAAATTATGCTATTTAAAAAATTGGGGCCGGGGATTTTGCTCAGCGGCATAAGCACCTGCCTTGCAAGCAGGCAGTCGTGAGTTCAATCCCTGGTACCAATAAAAAAACGAAAAAGACAAAAAAAATTTTTTTTAATATACTATTTTATAGCAAGATAGTTTTTTAAATTCTGCGTAGTAACTTCTTTGGTTTTTCTAAATTTAGTCATATGATGAATTCATTAAGAAAACTGAAGCTGAGCTTAGCCGAGATTTGGAAACATCACCAACAGCCAAACCCCAGATTAAAACATTGTCCACAGCTTCTGAAAAACCCAAGATCAAGCCTCCTCCACTACACAGGTAAGAATTTATGTTTAATCCCTCAGTCTAGGGAGTAGAAAGAAAGTAGTCTGCAACATTGCTAATGGTAGCATCACAAGTTGGCAAAGATACTCAAAATATAATTAGGCAGTGTTTTAGATCCCAAAACTATATAACCTTGGATGACTGTAATCCTCATTTCAGAAAAAATTAGCTTGATAAAATATGGAGTATCTAATATCTCTGTTTGCATGGGTATGTTTATCATAACATTCTTTATATTCATAAAGTGTTAGAAATAATCTTTGTGTCTAAAAATGGATGAATAGCTCAGGTGCTTGAATATTATGTAGCCATTAAGCAAATACAGAAGGTGGTAACAGCATTAGACTATACAATGTATTAAAATATAGGGCATATTAAGTATCATTTTTAATCTATATTCAGGTTATAATATTTAAAACAAATCTTTTGAACAGTGAGTATGGGTTAGGTCAGTCAGTGTAACTGAGAAATGGGGATATTTTACAGGGAAGGCCATTCATGAGTGATCAAAAACAGAAAATATATTGGTGTACCATAGGAACTGAACACAATAGGACATTGATAGAGTTAGCAGAAAAGTAACTAAAACCTGACTTTTGAAATCCTGTAATCAAATTACTCTCATTTGTATTTTGTCTTTTAGAACATGTGGAGCCCTCAAGGGTTGTTTTCAAACAACCTTTGAGTATTTGGAGTATTTTTTTATTTGTTACAAAAGTAATACAGGCTTATTATAATTAAATATCTTTGTGCTTATATCCTGTCTCCACTACCAGCTAACCAAATAATTGCGGGCAAGTTTATTTAACCTCTCTGCTTCCGTTTTTTTTAAATAAGGATTTATATAGCTCCATTAAACAAGATCGTAATACATTGATTAATATTCTTGTTGTAACAGTTAAAAGTTATATACAGGCCCCGTAACACAGTAAGCCTTATATATTAACTGCTACTATTGTGATTGTTTTGTTTTGTTTTGTTTTGTTTTGTTTTGGTACCGGGGATCGAACTCACAACTGCAGGCTTGCAAGGCAGGCGCTTATGCCGCTGAGCTAAATCTCCAGCCCTATTGTGATTATTGAAATAGCTGGAGAAGCAATAAAAAGTTTAAATCATACACATGTAATCCTCAATCCAAAATAGCAATTGTGAACAAACAGATATATTTTAAAATCTAGAATTTTTCTGCTTAGATTTTTGTTTGTATTTTTGGTACCCATGTATTTTCTCATTATATTATAAACTACAAGTTTTATTTTAATTTCTATTGAATGGCTTTATAGTTTCCCTTATCAAGCAACTGAAAATTTTTAACTAGGGCTAGAGTTGTAGCTCTGTGGCAGAACATGTACTTAGCATGTGTAGGAGTCTGGGTTCAGTCCCCAACATGGGGAGGGGAAGGAAAAAGAGAAGGAGCAGGTGACAGAAGAGAGAAAAGAAAAAAATACATACATTGCTTGATTGATTTCTTTTAACCAAAGTATGACAGATTTGTGTTTACACAGATCTTTCTAACCACAGTATGGAGGAAAGATTGAAAAAAAATTAAGTTTAGGAGCTCCCAAAAAGGAGGGCCTCAAATGAGCAGCAGTAAGAATAAAAAACAGGAGATACATTTTAGACATATTTAAGAAATAGATTTGACCCAATTCTATTATACCTGATGATATAGACAACTCAATTTGAAAATAGCAAGAGGCACAATGGTAACCACTTTTGATCACCTGGTATTCTATTTTTGCATCACATGCTATGCCCACCCTTCTGTTCTAACTGACTCTGTTTTGCTTAGTCACATTTGTTTTTATTCTCTTCAAAAAAGTAATAAGAACCGTGAGAGTAATAAAACCCTAAAAGTCTAATTGTTACTGTAAAAAAAAGAGGAAAGTAAGGTGGACTAAGGAATATAACCGCAGGTATGTTCGAGACTGTAGGACGGAAAACCATATAACTGAGCTTTTGTTGGATCATTGAACGGAACTGTCTCCAATTCCACTGTATGAATGTTCACTTTATATGCTTTAATTTAGTGATACGGACAACTGTTTCTGGGAAGATAATGTGTAGCCTGTTAACTGGTGATTTCGTACTATATATATTTTTTTCTAGAAATACTGTATTATTTGTACCCTTTTACTGCATTGTTTTTTTATGTCCTTTCTTTTTCTTTTTTTGTTTTCTTCTCTCTTTAAATTAAAAAAAAAAGAGAGATTTGACAAATGCTCAGTGGGGAAGAATAAGTGACTCCCAGGTTTCTCTTGGGAGTTGATGGGTTCAGGGTGCCACTAAATTAAATAGAAATGTGAGTGATTTTTGTGAGAAGTGCTTATAACTTATAATTTTGAGATGTCATGGTTCATCCTGTAGTCAGGGGTCATTGGGGTTGACTGACATATAGATGTGGCTGAAGCCAAGAAGACACACATTCAAATAGAAAAAAAATGAGCTCAGTACTAAATATGATTAAAAAAATAACAACCTCTGTAGGCATTATAAAGAGGTAGAAAGTAAAGACCAAATAAGGTTTAGCAAATAAAAACTAAGAAAATGAGGATGGCAAATGGGACCCTTCCTGCTTCACATAAAGAGTAAGAAAAGACAGTAAGAATGAGGAATTGAGAGGGAACTTTTGGGGGATGTTAATTGGGGGAGGGTGTTTTTGAGGCATGAGGCATACTTACAAGCTGAGGTGGAGGAAATATCTGGAAGGAAGGCTACAGATTGTAATAAAGACAGTAGACAATTGAGTACCATCTGTGAGGCTGTGAGCAATTAGTTTTGAACAAATGAGAGACACATCTTTTTTTTTCCTGCAGCTAGGAGAAAAAGTAGTTTGGATGGCTATAATAAATACAGGTTAAAGACAAAGCCGGGTGTGGTGGCGCACACCTGTAATCCCCACACTTGGGAGGCTGAGCCATGAGGATTGTTGCTGTTTCAAAGCCAGTCTGAACTACATAGTGAGATCTGGCTCAAAAAAAAAGAAAGAAAGAAAAAGGGCAATATCATCTAGAGAGAATGCTGGGACCAGAAATAGGCTTGGTCAAAATGACAAAAGGTTGAAATCTAGCAGTAGAGAAATAGATTAAGAATTCTTTTTTTGTTGTCAGTTATTATAGTACCAACAATATATTTATTTCTGCTTATTAATTTTTCTACTTCAGATCTGAAACAGCAAAAAACTGGAAATCACTAACAGAGCCAGATCGTTCCAGAGGATCCTTGGAGTCTATTGCTGAGCATGTTGGTATGTATCTAGAGAAAATAAGCTGTATTTACATAGCCTAAGAATTTGTACTGTTATTTGATTAAGTATATATTTTTATTTATATTATGTACTTTTTTCAATTTAAAAGAAAGAAAAATTATTAAAAATAAAATATGATACGAGGAAATAGAGCTGATATATAAAAAAGCCTGCCTAACATCAATAACAAAATAGAGATTAGTTAAAAGCTTAATTTATCAGGCCATTATGTCATTCTTTATTATTTTGTATAGTTAGCACTTCAAATGCTACTTCTTTTTTTTTTTTTTTTGGTATTAAGGAATCAAACTCACAACCTTGTGTGCTTGTCAGGCAGATGCTTATGCCACTGAGCTAAATCATCAGCCCTCAAATGCTACATTTGCAGAAATAGTTTGTTTTTTTTTTGTTTTTTTTTTTAATGTATGAGTGCTTAGTTGTAATCTCCAGGAAAATTCATTCTTTAAGAAGTATAAATAGGGTAAAACACACCTGTAAGATCAGCACTTGGGAACCTGAGGAAAAGGCCAGCCTGAGCTACAAAGTAAATTCAGGACCAGCTTGAACTAGTGAAACCCTGTCTCCCCCCTCCCCCCCCCCTCGCCCCCAACAAAGTATAAATAGATACATTTATCCTTTCCTCCTTGGTTTCTTGTTTGAAGATTGTGTATACCCACCATACAATATTGTATTTTCATAATTTGAAAATGATCTAACAAAGCTTCATAAATTTAGCTTCATTTTCTTCACTTGGTAAGTTAAGACAACACTTAAGAAATTATTTTAAGATGGGAGTGGTAGGGGACACCTGTAATCCTACCAGTAGCATGCAGGAGGCTGAGGCAAGAAGATCACTATGAGTTCAAAGCCATTCTGGACAACATGGTGAGAACTTTTCTCAAAAAAAACAAGAAAAAGAAAATTGTATTAAGAAAAAAAAATCAGGACCTGGATTATGGCTCAGTGGTAGAATGCTGTACAAGGCTCTTGGTTCAAATTACCAATATACTATGGACAGTGGGAGATTGTTCCAAACTTTAAAAATTTTAAATGTATGGGGCCAGGGATTTAGCTCAGTGGCATAAGTGCCTGCTTGGCAAGCTCAAGGTTGTGAGTTTGATCCCTGGTACCAAAAAAAAATATTTTTTAAATGTACAATAAATTGGTGCAATATATTCTCTTCAGTAAAAACTTACATGGTAACCAAAACAGATCGTAGGTATTGACTAGAGTTTTTGTTCACAGGATTTGGCTTTTATTTACAATTGCATCGTAGAAATTGAAAGATTGTAGTTAAATAATTTTGATGTGATTTTTTTTTCCCTTTTTTTTCTTTTAGATGCTTCACTGTCAGGTTCTGAAAGATCAGAAAGGTCTTTATCTGCATATGCAAAGAAAGTGATTGAGTTGGACATTCAGACTGAAGAATATTTGCAGACTCCTTCTCCAATTCTCAGATCATCAAGGAAAGCCAGGGCAGAATCTGGAGATTCTCTAGAAAGTGTTCTTCCGTTACCTCTTCTCAAGGAATTAAATGCCTCTAATAGAATTTTTGATGTTTTGGAAGCCAAGGTTGAAGAGTCCAATAAAAAATCAGAAACACAAAAAGTAGAATATGCAAAATTAGAAGAGAGTGAGATTCACGATACCTGTACTAAACCATCTGATACCTTAGTGAAACAGGAAGACTCATCTGAAATTGTTTTAAAGAAAAATCTTTCTTCAGATTCTGTAAATGTTCAGCGAGATTTAATTAAATTGGCTATTGAAAGTCTTCATAAAAACGAAGAAAGTTTGAGAGAAAGAGAGTCAGATCAAGATGGAGACTATACTTCAGACATCCAGCCAGGAAAAGATATTCATGAACAAAAGAACAAAAAGAAAACAGACTCATCTTTGTCGGAACATCTTTTTGCTCCTAAAGAATTGTCATACTCTGAAGATTTTGAAGTATCTTCTTTCAAGAAAGAAATTTCAGCTGAATTGTATAAAAATGACTCTGAAGTGTCATCTGTGTTGTCACTCAAGAAAGAGGCTCATTCTTGCAGAGATAAGTCACAACAAACAAGGAACTCTAGAAGTAGAGCCTCCAGCTTTGGTAGTGATGATGAAATCAGTGAGTGCCTAAGTGAGAAAAGCCTTTCTGTTCATAGCAGTGTCCATTCGGAAAGGCTGTTAGAACTCAAGTCCCCTACAGAGCTGATGAAAAGTAAGGAGCGTAGTGATGTAGAGCATGAACAGGGAGTTACTGAATCTCTTTGCTTGGCTCCAGTTTCTGTTGCAGATGAGTTACTTGATTTCCACATCGGTGATAGGGTATTGATTGGCAATGTTCAGCCAGGAACTCTTCGATTCAAAGGTGAGACTAGTTTTGCTAAAGGATTTTGGGCTGGAGTGGAGTTAGATAAACCTGAAGGAAATAACAATGGAACATATGATGGCATTGTATATTTTGTGTGCAGAGATAAGCATGGTATTTTTGCTCCTCCTCAAAAAATATCTCACATTCTAGAAAACTTTAATGACTATATAGACATACATGAAGATGAAGACTGTTACTCAGATGAACAATATCAACACCATAATGAAGAGCAAAAAGATATAGAGGGTTTAAAAGATAAAGATGCAGTTGAATATTTTCATGAGAAATCGCAACCTAATACACACACTCTAGAAACCTCAGTGGACAGAGATAGAAGCCTTAAAATAGAAACAGACAACATATGGGACATTTCTGGAGTACATAAAGCTCATGTACACCAGGAATCTTCAGTAGGTCCACTGATACCTTTAAAGGATAATAAAGACCTTTTTGGTGCCACAGAAAAGGTTTCCACTGCTGCAGAAGATGATGCTTTAGGTAATACCTTTTCTGAAGAATTACAGAAGCAACAACAACTGTTTACAGAAAAGGAAGGGAATGTATATTCTGAAGTTTTAGAAAAGCTTTCTACCCCACTTCTAGACCTTTTAACAAGAGAAAAAAACCAATTAGAAGCTCAGCTAAAGTCATCATTCAATGAAGGAAAAAAGTCAGAGCAACAGTTGGAAACAGTCAGCTTACTGGCAGATAGTTTATTAAAAGTTGTTGTGAAGGACACAGTCAGCCAACTACAGCAAATCAAGAGAGCTAAGAATGAGAAAATTCAGCTTAGTAACCAGGAGCTCCTTGATGATGACCAAAAGAAAGTACCATCCCAAAATCTTGAGGAACACTCAGTCGGTGTTCCGGTCTGCTACTTAAGGTCCGAATTGGAAGATGAAAAAGAAGAGATTTCCTCACCAGATATGTGTCCCAGACCTGTAAGTATTTCATCTTTAAAAAAAAAAAGTGTTAATTTATCTTGCCTGTGTAGTGCATTTTAATTCTGTTGCATGTGATAAGTTTTCATCCTGAAGTACCAGTCATTAGATAAAGATGATTATGCTGGTTTTAAAGGCCCTGAAGCTATTTTTCTGTCTGAAGTTTGTCTTCTGTTATGTCATGAGTAGTCACTATAGGGTTGTCATAAATGCTGACAGGTTTATGGGAACTGAGACATTCATTTAAACTGCTGGTTTGACAGCCCCTGTATAGTGTCCACAGATTAGATCCCCTTCCAGATTCACTAAAAAAACAAAAACAAAAACAGTACACTCTCTAGATAAATTTTCCAGTGGCTCCCTACCCAGTTCTTTTTAATTGTTCATGTATCAACTCAGCAGAGATAGCTCTACCCTGAAGAGATTACCAATTATGATGTTGATTCTCATAAAACTGAAATATATCCACTATGACATCTGTGCAGATCATCAACTTGTTTAGGTTGTCCTTGAACAGTTGAACAAAAGTAATCATTTAAAGTAACCTGAAGCAGATAATCACCAGAGGTGAGAAATTTCATACCCTTTTTCCATATCCCAGGAACAGTCCTCCAGAAAGAGAATAGCAATGGTACAAAAAAGGGAAAACTTATCAACAAACATTTATTATAAAAATTAAATGATAAATCTTACATAAGCAGAATACTATAAACAGGATAATGTTTTTCTTGTTCATTAGGTAACTGCCATATTGTTTTGATCTTATTTATAGAGAAATGGTAAACATATAAATGATAAAATATACTTTGTTTTAAAAGAAAAAACTTGTTAAGTAAGCTAAGTCATTAAATGATCCACTGTTTGGGTGTTTCTGTTCCTATAGGAAAGCCCAGTGTTTGGTGCTACTGGGCAGGAAGAGCTTGCTAAAAGACTTGCTGAACTTGAAATCAGCCGGGAGTTCCTGAGCACATTAGGAGATGATCAAGACTGGTTTGATGAAGACTTCGGTCTGAGCTCTTCTCACAAGATCCAAAAAAGTAAGGCAGAAGAAATAATTGTACCTCTAATGGCAGAACCTAAAAGACCACCTCAGAAGTCAAGTGAAACATTATTGGCAGTCCCACATACTGCAGAAGAAGTAGAAAATCTTGTACATAATGCAGCCGAAGAACTTTGGAAATGGAAAGAATTGGGCCATGACCTTCATAGTATCAGTATTCCTACCAAACTGCTTGGCTGTGCTAGTAAGGGCTTAGATATAGAAAATACTAGTAAAAGAGTCTACAAACAGGTAAGCAGCATGAAAGAATGATTTTAATTTTTATACTTCTCTCCACTTCTGGAATTTAACTTCTTAGCTATTTTGTTTTATTTTTCTCTGTCAAGGTGGTTTTTGATTTAACAAAAGAGATTTTTGAGGAAATATTTGCTGAGGATCCCAATTTGAATCAACCTGTCTGGATGAAGCCATGTAGAGTCAATTCTAGTTATTTCCGACGAGTGAAAAATCCAAATAACCTGAATGAAATCAAGGTAAGCTCAAAGTTATAAGTGCCTCCTTATTGATTTGTTGATCATTTACATATATAAGTTTACGTGTATAAATGTTTTAAAAATGAGTAATCTTCTGTTTTCATGGACTGTCGTGAGTATTCAGTAAATATTTGTTGACTGATTTCATGAGCAATGAAAGGAAACTGAAGTAGTAAATTTGTGTAAACGCTCTCTTCATTTCATGCATATACATAGTTTATGATGTCTAAGAAAAAATTAGAAAATGCTCAGGGAGATAAATTAATTGCAACTCGTAGGAGTTTTAAGTAAGATTTTGGAATTTAGAAAAAGATAAAATATTCTAGAAGTATATATGAAAATGTGCCAGATATGTATATATGTCTTTTTAATATGCCAACCCTGTACATTACTGGTTTGGGAGATTTCAAATTGGTAATGTGGTTTTAAAATATATAAGATTGTAACATGATGTATAAAATATTACATTATCTAAAAGACCTTTGAAAAGATAAATTTCCCAGCAGCTACAAGGGCTTGTCATATTGGCATTATGTTTCCTTAATTCAACAAAGGTTTTATTTCAAGAGCACTGTTAAACTTAAATTTGTATGTGAATCTTCTTGAGCAGTGTCCCATAATCCAAGTGATAAGGCTTTAGAATTGTTTTCCAAATTTATCAAAGAAAACCTTTAAGAATATTTTATATTTTATACTAAAAACACCAGTAAGTATTTATGAGATATACTGTACGCACACTGTAGTTTAGAAACCTGCTGCATGGACAAGATTCAGCCTCCCAATTTTTTTAGGAGTAAAGTTTTGTTGGATCATAGCTGTACTCATTTCATCACATATTGTTTGTGGTGCTTTCCTGCCACAAAAGCCTGAAATAGTTATAATCTGATCCTTTACAGAAAAACTTTTCCAGTCCCTGGCTGAGATTAAAGTAGTTAGTTTTTTAAGAACACAAATGTATTCCTTCCCTCATTGAGAGCAGTATTTTTTTAAAGAAGGATCTTCAAAAATAACAAAACAAATTATTTTGTTTTTATTTTATGAAAATGAGTTGAAAATTACATAATGTACAAGCAGTCATCAAACTGCACGCATACAATAGATACTATCCACTAATTTTCATATTGAAAGAATATTTTGTAAAGTTATTTAAAAGTGATGATTTAGATACTAGCAGAGGGCCAGGGATTTAGCTCAGCAGTCTAAGCACCTGCGTGGCAAGCATAAGATTGTGAGTTTGATCCCCAGTACCCCCCCCAAAAAAGAATAAATACTAGCAGAAAAACTATCATCCTTCCATACTGAAGTGTTAATATTTTTTAACGAAACATATTCAAATATTAGAGCTTAAGAATAAACTATCCCAAACAAAAACATACTTTTCTCATTGCATTGCTCCCTAATATTTTTTGAAATTTTTTCACTTCAAAGATTTATATTATGCTTTTCATAATAATTTTGCCAGTAATTTTTCCTCCTTGAAGATAGTTAAAAGTGGCTTACAGGTAAAGGGAACTCTGAAGTGATTTTTTTTTTTTTTAGCAGACATCAATAGGTTTTAATTTTGTTAGTTTTATGATGTATATAAACAAAAATTCCTTGTTAGAATTTTCATTTTTATTAGTAAATATTTACATATACAATAAATTATATGACACCTCTTAATTCTTTTTACTTCCCCTCTCCTCTTCCCCTCCTCCATCTCTTGGTCCCCTGCCCATTTGCATAATATCTATCTCCAAGCCTCCTATTATCTTTTATATTGCTTTTTAATTTATACTTTGGGGTGCTAGGGATTTAGCTCAGTGGGATAAGCGCCTAAGCTCCTGCTGGCGAGCACAAGGTCATGAGTTCGATCCCCATACCAAAACCAAAAAATTTATATTTTGGGTTTCCCATACAAGAGAAACTTAGATGGAGTTTAAGCTTATGTATCTGATTTCTCTCACTTAATATTATGGTCTCAAGTTGCATCAGTTTCCCAAAAATAACTCAATTTCTTCTTCTTTATAGCAGAATCAATTCCACTGTGTATAAATACATTTTATCTTTTTTATCTGATGTACATATAAGACACTTCCAAGATTTAGCTGTTATGAATTATGCTGCTGTAAACATGGGTATGCATGTATCATTGTAAAATGATATCTGACTTTTTCAGGAAGAATCTTAGAAGGGGAATAAATTGGTTAATCAAATGGAACATCTATTTTTAGTTTTTATAAGAATCTCCATACTGACATGTATACTAATTTTACTACTTGAAAGGCCCAATTGTCCTGTCATCACTTGCTAATATTTAATTTCTTCATAGTATTCATTTTTTCTGGAGCAGAATGGAATCTCAGTGCTTTTTTAAAATTTGTATTTCTATAATGGCCAGAGATGATGAACCTTTTTTCCTTGAATTTATTGGCCTTTTGTACTTCATGTGGAAATTTGTTCTTTGTAGTTGCCCACTTTTTGACTGGGTGTTTTATTTTGGGGAGTTTCTTTTTTTTTAGTATTTTTATATTCTAGATGTGTATCCAAGGAGTAGTAAGCAAACATTTTATATTCTACATGGTATCCAGACATAGTAAACATCTCATTCTGTAGGTTGTGTCTTCACTCTGTTGGTTCTTTTCTTTAATTGTACAGAAGCTTTTAAATTTGATATTCTATTTATTTGATAGTTGTTTCTTATGCAGTTGAGATTCTGTTCAAAAGTCCTTGTCTATATCTATATCTATGTCATCTTTCCTCCAGTGTATACTTTTGCCCCCTTTGACAAAGATTGCGTGGCGGAATGTGCTTGGGTTGTTTCTGCATCCATGCCAGTGATGATGAGCCTTTTAGAGTTTTCAGTGATAATAAACAGCCCGCTGCAGCACATGCCACCATCCATGTTGGGGTGTGTGTGTGTGTATGTGTGTGCCAGTAGCATGCTATTTTTATCACTGTAGCTTTTTTTAAAAAAAAAAAAAATTAGAAATTCAACTCAAGGCCTTGGACTTGCAAGACAGACGCTGTGCGGTTCAGCTTCACCTCTGGCCAGTAGCTTTTTAATAGAACTTGAAAAACAGGATTGTGATACCTCCTGCTTTGTTCTTGTTGACCAGGAATGCTTTGGCTATTCTGGATCTTTTCTGGTTCATTTGAATTTTATAAATATTTTCTCTAGTTTTGTGAGGAATGCTGTTGATATTTTGATAAAGACTGTTAAATTGATATTTCAGTTTTAGAAGGATGGACATTTGATAATGTAGTTTTCATTATAGAGAGCTTACACTTCCTTTTAGATTAATTCTATATATTTAATTTTTCTTGAAGCTATTGTGAATGGTATTTCTAATTTCTTTCTCTGTGGGTTCATGTTGATTTTGTGTTCTGCTACATTGCTGAATTTGATTCATTCTAGGATCTTTTGGTGGAAAATTTTGGGTCTTTTTAGATCACATCATCTGAGAATAAGTGTAGCTTGATTTCTTCCTTTCGTATACATATCCCTTTTCTTTTTTTTCTTGACTGACAATTCTGGCGAATGTTTCAAGTACTATACAGAATAGCAGTAGTGGACATTCTTGTCTTGCTCTGCTTTTAATGGGAAAGCTTTCAGCTTTTCTTCATTTAATATAATGCTGGCTTGGTTTGCCATAAATAGCTTTTGTCAAATCAAGATAAGGTCCTTCTATATCTATTTTCTCAGAGCTTTTGTGATGAATGGATATTACATTTTATCAAAGGCTTTTTCTACATCTTTTGAGATGGTCACATGATTTTTGTCCTTCTGTTTATGTGATGTGTTACATTTATTGATTAGCATATGTTGAACCATCCTTACATTCCCTAGAATGAATTCTACTTGGTCATGATATATGACCTTTTTAATGATTTGTTGCTTTCTATTTGCAAATATCTTGTTGTACATCTATGTTCATTAGAGATTGGCCTGTAGTTTTTTTTAGTGAGTCCTTGTCTGGTTTGGAAATGAAGGTAATGCTAGCTTCCAGGAATGAGTTTGATGACCCTCCTCCCTTAATTTGATTGAAATATTTGAGGAGTGTGTTGGTGTGTGATCTTCCTTTAAGTTCTGATAGAATTCAGTAGCAAATCCATCAGGTCCTAGATTTTATTAGTTGGACTGTTTTCATTATTACTGCCTCAATTTAATTGCCTATTACTAAATTATTCAGAACCTCTATATCTTTTTGGTTCAGTTTTAGTAATTCATGTTTCTCTAGGAAGCTATCTGTTTGTTCTGGATTTTCCAATTTATAGGAATATAGGTTTCAAAGTACCTAGCTACTAATAATCTTAAGGATTATAGTAGTGTCCATTGTGATTATGCCTTTTTCATTTTTAATTGGATTGACATGGATCTTTTATCCCCCTGCTTTTTTTTGGTAAAGACTGGCTGAGTTTAAAAGTTTATCTATTTTGTTTATTCCTTGAGAAACCAGCTCTTCAGTGATTGTATTGTTTTATTAGTCTCAATCTCAGTAGTTTCTGCTCTGATCTTTATAATTTCCTTCTTTGTACTAGCTTTAGATTTAGATTGTTCCTATTTTTCAAGGACCTTGAAGTACATCATTAGTTTATTTCTTTGGGCTCTGTTTTTCTGATATTAGTATTCACAGCCAGAAACTTCTCTGAGAACCGCTTCATTGTGTTCCATAGGTTCTGGTATATTTTATTGTCATTATTGTTTGATTATAGAAACTAATTTCTTCCTTGACTTTTTCTGTGATCCATTGATGATTCCGGGTGTATTATTAACCAGGGATGGTGCCACATACCTGTAGTTGCAGTGCCTAGAAGGCTGATGCAGAAGGATCATTGTGAGTTCACAACTAGCCTGAACTAGGAAGTGGGACCATGTCTCAAGAAATGAAACAAAAGTATAATCTCTTGTCTCTTGTCTTTTGCCACTGATTTCTAGTTTCCTACAATATGATCTCATAATATGCAAGGGATCATTCCTAATCTTTGGAATGTATTTAACCATGCTTTATGGGCTAATA